GAAGGGAAGAAAAGAAAAAGGAGGAAAAGGAGGAGGAGGAGGAGGAAAAACAAACTTCTTAACTCACGAAAGCGCCGAGTCCAAGGCGTCAGTGTTTACGCGCAAGTGATTCTCTTGGCGCCATTTTATCGAGAGAGGGGTCGTCCTCGAGCCTAATATTATTCGTTTCACAGCGGCTTCTGCACCTTGCTCGCAAGCAGGCCGCGTGTTAATCTTAATCTTAATTAACGTAAATAATCAAAATGACGATACATATGTGTTTGTCATATATCTGCACGATTTTTACTTCCATCGTATACGCGTATATAATAAAGTAAAAAAAAAAAAAAAAAAAAAAAATGGACGATATTACTCGTTCAAGGGAGCTTAAAATCGACACATTACATTGTTCAGTGTGGAAACAATTTCCATTGACTTGGATCAAACTTGGATTCGACCGAAAATAATTCGACAAAAAAAAAAAAAAAAAAAAAAAAAGAAAGGGAAAAAAGTATCGGTAAAAATAATTCGGTTCGATCAAGTCGCTTAAAAGTGCTCGATCGTCGTTCTATCATTATAGAGCTACAATGAAAAAAAAAAAAAAAAAAAAGAAAATAATGCTGTTTCTTCTACAAGATGGCGCGAGAAAATCTCGAACCCCCTCGCCTTAGTCCACGAAAAACACGATGACCGTACCGCAACTGCGACCATCACGAATTGCAATTGTCTCGAATCCTTTTTCCGCCGTCAGGCGAGAGAGAACGAAATTCTTCATGCACCATCTCGTATGCTCTCGTACATATATATATATACGTATATATGTGTATATGTATGTATGTGTGTGTGTTAGGATGATACCTCTAAAAACATCGCGAGCGGCGAGTCACGCACGCACGGCGTGCGCATGCGCGTTCGCGTCCCGCAATTCCTATCCTCCGTTCGTACGGAGTCAAGTCGTTCGAACGGAGTTTGAATGAAAAAAAAAAAAAAAAAAAAAAAATTGGCTCTACCCTCTCACCACAAGCAAATTGGATATACTACGTCAGCGTTTAGCGAAAAAAAAAAATCCTTAGCGTAAGTGTAAAATGAAAAAAAAAAGAGAGAGAGAGAGAGATAATAAGTCGCGTCGCTTACTGATAAACGCGTGTTCAGGCACCGTGATTGGCGATCTTATCGTCGTTGTTCAAATGTATATATTGTTATTATTGATTATTCCTTTTTTTTTTTTTTTTTTTTTAGGTAGTAAAATAGTAAGTATAGCGTGTGTGTATATATATATATATATATAGGCGGCGAAGCGAGAGGAGAGGAGCTCGCGTTCTCCGACAATAGGCTCCGGTTAACGTGCTCTAATGGTTTTGGAGGGGGGAAACTACGTCACACACGTAGCATCCTATAGTTTTCAATCAATGCCATTCGGCTCAAAAGAGAAATCCCATTTAGCCTCGCGTTCCCATTGTACGAAGTGAGAGAAAGCCTAGCAATCTCCACGGCAATTAGTACCAATAATTAAAGCTCGCGTCCTTTCAACGCGGGGGGTTTACCTCGATATCTTCTCGGCTGGTGACATTTTTTTCACCGGTTTCATTGTCGCTCGTTCTTCTCTTTTTTCCTTTTTTTTTTTTTCCTTTTTTGCGCGGCTTGTCAGTAACTCGAGTTGTGTCAGTCGTCGAATTACCGATGGAGAACAGAGGGGGCGACGCGTTGTCCTTTCCCGTTATAGAAAATTATATCCGCAGAATCAAGCGACGATTGAAAGAGTCATCGGCTCTATTGTTGAAAACGTGCAACCAGACGATTCGCGTGAATTCTGATTCTATTTATTTAGAGGGAAGTGCAAGATTCGATTTCAAGAACTTTTTGATAATAAAATTTGAAAGGGAAAATAATAAAATCGATGGCTTTGTCAAAAAAAAAAAAAAAAAAAGAATAATATATCGTGAGAGAGAGAGAGAGAGAGAGAAACGGGATAGTCTGCGGCGTGTTTGCCGACGATAGACAAATGTCGAACAGAGGGGAGATCCCCAGAAGTTTAACTGAAACGCAAACGTCCCCATGCTAATCGAGGACTCACACTTTGCCCCGCCTTTATCTTCCTCGTTCGCTCGCCCCTCGCCATTTGTCTTGGCGAGCGTATTCAAATTTTCAAGTTTCTCAATTAACCCTCCTCCTCGAATCGATAGAGTCCCGCAAGAACGCGACCCTAACCGATTTAAATTTATCCAACCCTTTCGGTATCGCTCACCCTTTCCTCGACATGGATCTATCTGTCTATTGTTCGGTCGCAGTTTCACTTTAACTCGCGTGAAATTTCGCGTAAAAATTGCTTAATTTTGCCAAATAAGACTTGTCATTTTAAACAGCAATAATTAAATTCGAATGTTATATATCTCTTCGTCTTCTCTGCATTGCGTCGACGACGTTCGCGCGTTGGATCTATGTTTCGAAGTTAAGATCCAGTTATAACTTTCCGGATATACGTTTGAATCTCGAACTATGAAAATTTCGAAGTACACAATCTCCAAAACGTTTCATCCTCGACCGTGATGAGCAGTTGTCGAATTTTCGTAATTTGGAAATTTTAGATTATTTCATTGTATACATCAAAAGATTTCGTGTATTTTTCACCAATCAATATTTTCAAAATGATTCTGAATATTTGTAAAATACTTGAGAAACTTTTTCAATTATTCTTAACGCTACATCCGATCGATGAGGCGATACTAGCGCCACGCGACTATTAACTACATATCTATCGGTACCCAATGTATTTATGCATTTCCAAAGAACTTTTGAAACAACTTTTGAATAATTTTCCATAAATAATTTTCAATATAAAGCGTCGACTTTTCTTTACACGTACCTCATACTGCAACAACCTGATAATATTAATCAACAATATATATATATATATATATTTTTCTATCACACGTTGCTTCAAACCATCGTTGCTCGAGTTCGTTCACCCCCTCCCCTCTCTCTCTCTCATCACGATATTAATAATCCCTGTTTACACGCGTCTACTTCTATCCACGACTTCAAAGACTTTATCCCGTTGATTAGCCACGACTCTAGCAGCAACCAGAGCGAGTCGTCTCAGATTGATAAGCTCACGTGTCGCGATGTAAATTAACCTAACGCCACCACCGAGGGCCGAGGAAATCTGGCTGGAAGGGGGAGGGAGAAGAGAAGGGGATGTTAGGTTATACGAACCCTAGGTATCTAACCTTGATCCCAGCGCCCTTCTCGTTTCCCTTCTTCTCCCCCATCCCTCCGAATTCTCGTCTAAACCCCCTCCTCCCCCAGCGCGAAGCTTAGCTTAACCCCGAGACGCCGCAAGAGGCAATTAACCTTCCGCCAACCCCTTGACGCCCATTGCAACCCCCGCATCTCCCTTATCCCCCCACTGTTCCCAGTCGTTCCACTCCACTCCACTCCACCCTCCCTCCTGTTGATATCCCCGCTCGGAGCATCTGCATAATCATGCTCGATTCCCAATGCTAATTAGAGTCCGTATCCGACTCTAGCAAGTAGCACGTCGACCTCCATCACGCGGTCCGGAACCACGCCTCGTCCCGCTTCCGCTTATTTCCCCCCTTTTATCCCTTCTGTCTCGCACGATCTCGCACGGGGGAGTCGAATGGTTCAGGGAGGGAGAGGGAAGTCGCAAGAAAAATAGAGATTTAAGCGACGAGAGTTTAGTTTATGAGCGAAGGGATGACGATCGAGGAATAATCGATCGAGAACCTGGTCTTCTTTTGATCGTGAGATCGGATAAGGGTTCCTTTGTTATAATTCGGATGACTCTTCGGATTTTGAGTCAATTGATTTGCAACAACTTTGTTACGAATGTAATCGTAATGATCTTTCTTTTGGTGGTAAAAATCGATTTTGAGTCAATTGGTTTGCAACAAGTTTGCTACGAATATAATCGTAATGATCTTTCTTTTAGTGGTAAAAATCGATTTTGAGTCAATTGGTTTGCAACAAGTTTGTTACGAATATAATCGTATGGTGGTCTTTTTTTGGTGGTAAAAATCGATTTTGAGTCAATTGGTTTGCAACAAGTTTGTTACGAATGTAATCGTAATGATCTTTCTTTTGGTGGTAAAAATCGATTTTGAGTCAGTTGGTTTGCAATAACTTTGTTACGAATATAATGGTGGTCTTCTTTTGGTGGTAAAAATCGATTTTGAGTCAATTGGTTTGCAACAAGTTTGTTACGAATATAATGGTGGTCTTCTTTTGGTGGTAAAAATCTATTTTGAGTCAGTTGATTTGCAACAAGTTTGCTACGAATGGTGGTTTTCTTTTGGTAGTAAAAATCGATTTTGAATCAGTTGATTTGCAACAAGTTTGTTACGAATATAATGGTGGTGTTCTTTTGGTGAAAATCGCGAGCTTTGATCTTGCTGTAATATGCGTTTCAGTCCCGCGTGTTAGGTTCGGTTAATTGATGTAGGTTCAGTGGAAGAAATGGGGAAATTGCAAGAAAGGTGTTGGAACGATGCATCATCCGTTTCGCCCGAATCCGGGGAGAAGAAATAAGCGCGAAAGGGTTGGCTTCGCTGCCCCTCCCCTCCCCCTTTTTTCTCTTTTCTCACCGTCAGCGTTCGTTAATTGAAATTGCAGGTGTTATCGAAAGATTTCCCCCTTCTTTTTTCAACAAATGTCCCGAGGAGCCATCGAATCTATTAAACCAATTTATTAACCAGGAGCCATTCGCCTCCTCGCGCTGGTGGAGGATCGTTTACCCCTCCCTCCTATAAACGAAGAGAAAAAGATGCACGCGGATGATTCTTACAAAAAAGACGAAGGAAGAAGATTAATATTTTTATAATAATAATGTCGAAAAAATCCCTCCATTCTTTCCTCGATTGATTGAATTCCTCCGAGGCCACTCAACTTCCTACAACTTTCACGTGTATAACTCGAAAATGTTCGAATACGAGGAATCTCAAGAAGAATCTCAAGAGAACGATATTTCGAGGAAAATGAAGATGTTTAAGGCTCTCGAGATCCTTAGGAAGGAAGGGGGAACGGAAACGGTGCTCAAAAACGGCGCGCTGAGTAACCTGTGTCGTACAACTTACAGAGGCTGTCGGTGCGTCCGGGGACGGAATGCATCCCCGGTACGGAGACCGAGACCGAGAGCGCCTCTTGGTGCTTGAGCATCTGCCGGCGTCTCTGCCAGGTGAACGTCCACGCGGCTATGATGGCGATCTGGGCTACGAGGAACACGGTCCCAGCGACGATCGCCTCGCCCAGGTTGATGCACATGCCCATGGTCGACGATATGTCCTCGCTCTCGACGAACACCGTGTCCCTGCTGGCCGAGCTGGCGTTCGACGCCTTGCTGTCGTGCTCGAATCCGAACTTGTCCGTGATCTGGATCGATTGCACGAGCAGCAGGTCCTCGCGGGTCTGGGAGCCGGTCGAGCGACGGCGACGACGCTTCCCGTACGAAATCACGGAGCGCAGCTCGCCGGTCGCCTCCTCTTGATCGCACTGAACCGGCTCGCAGGTGGGCATGCAAGGTGTGACCAGGGCCCGGAACTGTACCACCTCAGAGCTGGGGAATTTGAAGGCGTCGAAGTGCGAAAGGAGAATCTGAAACAGTGGAATTGAAGTTTATATATTCTATTTTCTTGTTAGATGGGTCATTTTTTCGAAGTCATCTTTCGAATTCGATTAATTTGAATTTGGCGAAATATAGTGAGTGAGAGTTTAAGAAAGGGAAAATAAATCTTCGCGCCTGTCAAAATGGATCGAGAAATATGTCGAGACGCGCGACCGTTGAAGATTTTATGAATCGTGGAAACAATCAAAGGAGGGGGGGAAAAATTCTGTACTTCCGGAAGATTTGCAAGTCACACGAGGAATTTCTGTGCCGTTATTCATCATTAAGATAATACGTGAACAGATGTGTCGAATAACTTCTTCGGTAGCAACAAAGATTTATTATTCGTAGAATTGGCTGCTATTAGATCGGTCATCAGTTTTGTTTACTTCTCCGTTTAATAAATCTCGTCTCGTCATTTCTATGGCTTTCAATTAGATACAAAAGATACTATAATTGTATTTTTTAAAAAGACACAATTTTCGTATTTACAAATGATGAAATATGCTAGAATAACAAAAAGAAATCTAAATGATAATAATTCTTATTCTCAAGAAGAACGGATATTCCAATAAATTTGTTTCCCTGTTTAAAAGGAAACAACCTTCGAGACATCTGTCCTCGCAAAAGGATAAAATTTCCTTCTCGATCGATATTCAATCAAGTATCCTCGAATGAAACGTAAATTTATCCTCGATGCGTCTCTGGACAAAGTGTCCCGTAAATTACGTGGCATTCTATGAAATTGCCTTCGATCGAGCGGCTCGCGTGTTGATAAAAAAAGCCGCAGAACGTTACACAGAACGCAAGTAGTATCGCATAACACGTGGAACGTTTGCTCGTCGCATGCAATATGCGTAATAGAAGATCGCTTGAAACTGGTTCTCGCGTCTTACAACAGCTGCACTCTAATTTTTTTCTTTTCTTACCTCTTTTCTCTCTGTCTCTCCCCTTTTTTTCCTTTTATTCTTTATTAAGTAAACTCGTATAACAGCAATTACACGGAATTACGGCATGAGAAACAGCCATTGGTAAACGCTGTTTTGTCGTTCCCATAGCGAGGTATTTCGATAAATAACACACTTCTATTCCCCGTTTTCGTTTTCCTTTTCTCCTTTAACCATCGCCTCTCCCTCCCTCTCTCTCTCTCTCTTTCTCTCTCCATTCCCTCGTGTCGAACAACTTCGATAATACGAGCCTGTCCATTATAATTATTTACATTTTCCTTCCCTACTTTGATTAAAGGATTCTCCAACAATAAATTATACAGGATGGTTCCCTAACAGTTTCCCATATTTTTCGATACCTCGTGATCTTCCCCATACGCAATTTAATTACTAATTATATTTCCCAAACCACTCGAAACTTCTAGCAAAAGTTCCATTATTATTTTTATATTCTATTATTACAATATCTAGAACAGATAAAAGATTAACATAAGAATTCAAAAAAAAAAAAAAAAACAAAGAAGAAGAAAGAAAATCTCGAA